GGGGGGGGGGCTGTGCAGGGGGTTGAAATCGCATGTCTCTGTAAGCCTCTTACACAGGCATTCCCGGAAGCCCGCTCAAAGGCGAGAGTGCGCGTGCAGCTGAGCGAGCACATACACGCGCCCACACTCACACAAGGACGCCCGCACACACAGACACACTCACTCACAAACAATCGAGCACGCAGCATGATGCAGCCAGCAGGCTGCATAGGTGATGCCATCACAGTGCACTGCACTGCAGGCTGTGTATGGGAGCGGCAGCGGAGTCCCCGCAAATAAGCGAGAGAACCTCGCCGAGCGCCTCTGCCACGGGGCCGCACGCTGCACATAGAATCGCTGAAGCCACACATTAGGTCCACTTAAATGAGGAAACGGCGGGAAACGGCAATGAGAAAAACACGGAAAGGCGAGTAGTTAGAAATTAAATTTAAGGGGAATATCCCTACTGGAAATATGGCGACTTGGTCCAAATTTCCCAAGCTAGCGATATTTGATGGTCTTTGAGAGATCAGAAGTTTATTGATGCCAACTTGTGTTGCACAGAGGCTGGTTCGTGAAAACACCTCGGCCTGATTTCTAGAATCCTAAAGTTTGACGCAAGGAACTTTTCGTGTATAAAAATAGGTGAATTTATTTTTTTGCGAAAATTTCAGTGAAATAAATCATAATGTTAGTTCATTTGCATCACAACTTGAATACATTTTCACACAAACCACCACATTTAAAAAAAAAAATCAGGATTTCAGTAGGATCTGCCCTTTAGAAGCAAACAAATGTTTGAATCAATTTAAGTACCCGAAGAAAGGAGGCACACCTAGAAGAGGCGAACCCATTCACCCTTTCCAAATGTTGGTGATGACAGAAACTCAAGAACGCGCGTCTGGGTCTCCGACTATTGACTGACTCTCTACTCGGCGCGAAGCAATTTCAGCCACGTGCTGTCGGTTTTGGTCGGACGGGCACAGCCAGGGGAGAAGAGTATTATTGTTCCAGTTCATTCTGATACACAAAAGGAACGGAAAGCAGCTACAGGGGCGCGAAGAGGAAGAAGGGGCGCCAGCAATGGTCGTGGGAACGCGATCGGAACGCTAGAGGGGGAGAGACG